TCCGTTCGACCTCGACAATGGTAATTCACCGGCCGTCAGCAGTGCAGCAGAGAAAACAACAAATAGATATGAGTTTTGTTTTCTGTGCTCAACTGAAGAAAACCGGTGACTTACCCTTGTTCTCCAACTTGGCCGTCCGTGGCTGAGAACTGACTGCCTTCCCGCGGTCCATAGAAATTCAATGAGGGATGGCTTTCGAATCTACACCAGAGACAGCCGGCTTGAGTGAGGCTTGGATAACAGAGGTGCTTCGATTCGAATAATTAAAACAACTCACCTGTTGACGGCCGAGCTCAGAATTCTCCTGAATACCATAGAAATTCAATGAGGGAGAGAAGTCAGCGCTGCACCTTCAACAAACGCTCTTGATAATAGGCTTACCTCATTGCGATCGATTCGATCGAGCGAACAGATCCGTCGATTCAACTGAGGCCGATTGGATAAAGCACTCACCATTGTTGTCGGCCAAGCTTGGATTTCTCTCCTGTTTACCATAGGAATACAATGAGGGAGAGAAGTCAGTGCTGCGCCTTCAAGAATGGATCATCCGTAAGCTTAACCTTAGTAACTTCAACGGTTCTTTTATCCACGAATCAATCTAAATCTTTCGAAAGTGAGCCTGTTACTTAACGATACACGTGACCGTTGATTCTGCAACTGAAGTGCCGCTACTCTATTTCACACAGTAAACGCCGGCAAATCGATTGCAGAGTGCAACTGAGGGGGTAACCAAAAGGTGCGTCGTCTCAGGAGACGTAATTACGGAAGCCTGCATTTCGATGGCCAAATTTGAAGGCTCGAGATGCCACCGCAAACATCCCACAATACTAGCAATATTAGAGGTTCTTCCCTCCCGCAATAGACGTTCATAAAAATGGAACATTCTGTAGCCCAAATGGATGACGAGGAAGAGCTGATGGATATAGTGGCTGCCAGAAGCCGGGGTGACAATATAGAAGCGGAGCTCAGAAAGCTGGAAATGCTTAAATTGGAAGCACAACCGAGAGAAGATGAGCAATCGAGGAGAGCGGAAATTGGAAGGCCATTCCAGCCATCGCAGCATCAAACCAGTACAACAGGTGGCAACTCCATGGGAGAGGAAATCAAAGAAGAAGAAAAGGAAGAAAATGTCTTTATTTTGAAGGGAGTTGAAGATCAAACAAAGACTCATCGACAAGTAGAAGCTGGTCTAGAGGATGAGCTTGCTTTTCCGCAACCAAACTTGACTAGTAGTGGGCAAAACCAGTCAGATACGGCTACCATGCATCCAGGAGCATATGCAATGGGCCGGGGAATGAAAGGATCAGGCCAGATGACAACCACCACTCCCACAGCAACAATAGTGGATTGGCAGTCGCAAATAAGGTTGAAGAAGATGAAGAACCTACACAGATTGCTAGACCCGACCATTTGCATGGGGAAAATGGATCTACGTCAATCACTCTCATGATCCTTGTTCTCATTGGTGAGCCTCCTCATGGTTGGAGTGATTTTGGTTCCACCTGTGGGGCGGTCTCTGCAGCAACAAAAGGTGATGGTGAAACTCAGGCTCCCTCTTCCTTTCGGTATTTTGTTTTGTGAGGACTTCTCAAACAGAATTGAAAGAGTGCTTTTGGGCTTGGCTATTTTCCCAAAAGGGACATAGGCAGAAACCCACCCAGCCAAATTAAGGGCTTCTTGATTGGATTGTGTTTGAGGATCCTCTG